AAAATTTCGGTTTGAATTAGGTGGCTGCATATCCATGAATATTAAGAGCATAATCATTTTGAAGAGTGAAATGAAAGCCAAAAGCAGTTGTGATTATCTTACCTTTCGAACAGCTGTTATGAAAACGCCTTTGCTAACTAATGTGTCCTCGGATATTTGCAAAAGCAGCCATGGTTAACCACGGAAGAACACATAAGAGCCCAGATTCTGTGAGGTTGAACTTCAGAACCTGAGATAACAATGCATTATCTTGTTGATTCAATGGACTAAAGGGAAATTCTGATCCAACTATAGAAAGTTATGTAAAAAATGTATTCTACAAAGCGTTCAAGATTACTATAAAAATTTGTATTAAAAATGTTAATAAGTAATAACCTGATTGAATAATAATTGTAGTCACTGTAGAAGGATTTCAAGATTTGCAACCTTTTGATACATTGCAATGCTTTAATTCTGGTGCATGTCCAAATGATGCTGAAGCTTGTCGACAATCTTGTATATCAAAGGGTTTTCCTAAAGGTGGCAAGTGTGGAGCAAAATTATCCACCTGTTGTTGCTATGGAGATTAGAGAGATCTGGAGATAATATTAGTCAATTTTCAATGTGTTTGTAAGAAAGTATGTCGACAAATATTGAGTAACAGAAGAGGAAATATCTTTTATTTCATTATGTTAAAGAAAGGTACAAAGAATCATATATATAGCCAATGCCCAGCCCCCATTACTACCCTTCCTCCAATATCTATTCTGCACCCACATGTTTGTCCTGAACCTAAGCGAAGCCTCGATGCCCCCTCTAATGTGACTGCTCGCCTTGGTACCCGCGAATTTAAGTTTATGTATGGTGGAGTACATGGTAATCGCAGGGTTCGTCAATTTGTTTTCAGCCGGTTTAGGCCATGGCGTACTTACCGGGATGATGCCGGTGCATTATTTACTTGCATTACATTTGTTGGAGACTCTTCTCATATTGCTGTGGGTAGCCATACTGGAGAACTCAAATTTTTTTATTCCAACAACAGTAACGTGGTAGAGAGCTTCACAGGTCACCAGTCTCCGTTAACTATAGTTCAGTCTTTTGTGTCTGGTGAGACCCAATTGTTGCTTTCTTCATGCTCTCAAGAGGTTAAGCTGTGGGATGCAACATCAATATTAGGTGGTCCCACCCGTTCATTTCAAAGGCTGTAAGGCTGCAAGGTTTAGTAACTCTGGGAATACTTTTGCTGCCCTGTCATCAGAATCTACAGGACGGGAAATCCTTTTATATGATATTGAAAGTTACCAGTTAAAAGAGAAGTTGTCTGATACATCAACTATTTCTACAGGGCGGGGTCATGTTTATTCTTTAATCCACTTTAGCCCTGCCGATTCAATGCTGCTTTGGAATGGTGTCCTATGGGACCCACGGTTATCTACGCATGTTCATCGCTTTGATCAGTTCACAGATTATGGAGGTGGAGGTTTTCATATATATAGCCACCTAGGCACACATATATCATTGAGTAACTAACAGAAATTATATCCACCCTACAAGTGTCATATGGTATGGAGAAAAGGAAAACATGATTTTCAAGGGATTTTCATCCTTATCAAACGGTACAGGATTTTCATCACCCTGTAAAAGTGTGGAAAAACCAAACTCAATCTTACAAAGCCGGCTTGTAAGTTGAGGATTCTTAACACATACAACCATGGCATATGGTCAAAATTTAAAACTATTTGTCATGCATAATTTAATCTAAACCATTATTGGTTGGATCTGGTGGTTAAAATCAAATCTTAAGTTGTGTTTGGGGTTCAGAGCAGAGGGGAGGGCAATCTCAACTTGTTTTGGATGCATTAGAAATCGATGATGAGAGGGAGGCAGTCTCAAATCTTAAGTTGTGTTTTAGACCTCACTAGATACATCTCCTATGGACATACACAATATTAGTTACCTGTTCCAATGCAATAGAGTTTCGACATATTTGCTGAACACCAAAAAGATTGATAGACTTCATAGCTGCCAAAGCCTGTAAGCAAAAGGGCCCCCTCTTGTTAGCAGTGAAGAAAAAGGAAAGTACACCCTCAAACATACAATTAAAAGTCTTTCTATAAAAACAAAACTGCAAAGAAATGTATACATTCACACCTTAACAGACACATTTGCTGCAACCCCACAAATTCCACCAAATATGTAATTCCGCTTTGCATTTGAAATAAAAGGGGCCATTTCCTCATCTCTTCGAGTTATCTGGAGATTTCATTAAAATAGTAAACATAAAGAGTCTGACTTACATAAGCTTATCATACATCTGAGTCACTAAACAGGAAGATCCAACTTTTTGAAATTCATCACTTTGGCCATTGGCTGTTTACTTTCAATATTGGGGCTGATAGAAGATCCATTACATTGTTTTTATCAAATCAGATAACTCGGAATCATTTGACTGGTAAGTTTACTAAGATGCCATTACAATTTATAATTTAATTTAGTTTGACTTTAACATCCACATTAGTATTATGGTCTTATCTTGATGAGTGTATGGTGCTTTTTAGTTTAGTATTAGAAGTCTAATCCTACAGAATCTCATAATGGAAACTCACAGGACAATTTCGCAAAGTCTGCATATTGTAGAACTCCTTTAATAATAGTGATATTATAAATTCATTCACCAAAAATACAATTGTCTTTATCACATGTACAATCAAATCCTCCTGAGCATGGTTCCTTTAGCTAGTTTTATCTCCATAATCCAAAGTTTCTAAGAGAGCATTCGAATAAATAACATAAATAAACAATGGTCATATAGTACAAATTTAAGAATAAGCTATGTCTGCCATAAAAAATGATGGAACTGTGCATTAACTCTATGTGTACTATTCTTGGGAAATTCTGAAAATAGCTTCTAAATACACATACAAATGAGATCTTATAAATGCCCCCAAAATAGTATTACTTTTAATTAATAGCTTGGCCAGACCACAATCCAATTCCAAAGATGGATCTTAAGAAAGATATTTCAACAACCACATCAATATTAGTATTAACATCAAATCATCAATAAATTCAGAAAGATGGATCTTATGAAACCCCAGTCTACGAATTGGAACTGGATAGAAGCTGAAATTGAAAGCACCAGTTTATGAACTAGGTTGGATTATTGAAGGTGTTGCAGCTAAATTCGGTGATCTATGCCTCTAACCAAAGTTCATATTTCAAGCTTCCATTAATAATATAAATCATCCTAAGCTCTCTAATATAGAAAGGGATATCACAAGTTCTGCGTATGTGGGGAGTATAATCTTTACGAAGGATCCAACTAGGAATCTTTACAAAGATAACATACAGAGAAAGAATGAGAAACCTGTGCAGTGAGAGAAATGACGAAGTCATCTGGTTCTTCAGCATCTTGGTCATCTAAGTATTCTGTATTTGTCATTTCCTGCACAAAATAGTGTTTTGGATAAGTTTGGCAACAATTAAATTATCAAAATCTTATTCCTCAAACAACCTCATAAAAATAACACCACATTAGACAAACCTGCATATGAAATATTGTCTCCAACTGCATTTCTATACGTAAAACCTTAAGGCAATCGATTGCTAATTTCCTATAATCTTGAGAAAATGATGCTAGACTTCTTGTAGGTGCACTGTCTGAATGACTATGATGCTTTCCTCCAATATGATTTGATGCTCTTTGAGTAGTTTGTCCAAGCCTGCAAATTTTCACAAGAATTTTTTATGAACCAATAACCCAACCCAACACTGTACTGCTCACCAACATCATCAGGACGTCGGTACCATTAATGTTAGAAGATATGAAAATATCTCATTAAATCTTAGGGTAATTTTGATCATCTACTAGGGATGGTCTCAATATTTCCTTATGTATCAAAGTTTGTTTCCACTTTAATAATGTGGCGATCTCTTCCCTGATTTACTTTTGTATATAGCTTCCCAATTGTAATCATAACTAGATAGATACGGGCTTTTGTTCTTATAGCTATAATCAAGGGATGATGTTTGTAACCTTATAGTAATCTATTTAGATAGATATATACTTTGGTAATCTCTATACAGGGTTAATCTATCAAGCAATTCAAATCAATCTTGATCCCAATGTGAATCTGGTATCAGAGCTCACATCATGAGGGCGTGATAAAACCCTAAAAGGTCCCAATAAATCCAAAGCAGGGTAACTGGATAAAAGAAACAGCTCAGAGTCCTAGATCAAATCCAAGTCTATCACCAAAACCCTCGCAAACAACTCAGACACTGTCAAACTAAACCAGTCGGCACAGAGGCCACTGATATGGGTTATAGACTCGCAGCAAGCAGAGTTGCATGGACCAATCTCACCCAAGGTTAACATAGACCTAAGAAGACTAGCGCAAAACAAGTTTCACCCAAGGGAATCTCGTGCAAATAGATTCACACGCTTGGGAAGAAGCAATGACGAGTGATTGCTAGATGGGAAACTCCAATGAGTTTTATTTTTTCCCTCACACCATCAGACTCTCAATACCCAAAAATTATGGTTTGTGAATGATTGGATTGGTGGTCTTGCACACATTCTACTGATCTTACGAAATCCCATCAAAACAAGTTTCTTTCAGGGGAATCTTAAATTTCAGAAACTAAATTTCAGAAACTAAATTTGCATAAATAAATAAAAACAATTAATCAAATAACCCCCAACAAACGTATAAACTAGCAATCTAATCTACACTTTTTCAATATTGATTTCAACATGTACAAAAACAGTTTGAATTATGCAAAAGAAACTAAACAAACCGGTGTAGAATAATTGACAAATATTATTGAAAAGGAGTGTTATTGGTTCAATTTTTAGAAGAAAGAAATTTGATTAAAATTAATAGAGAATTGAATAATCATGGAAAAAGGTACTAAGAATAATGGAAAATATTGGTATATAAAATATCCTATAATCAAAGATAGGATAAAATATAGGTTGGAACAGTTATATATACAACATTATGTCAACAAATAAGCCTTCAACAGAAGAACATAGAGTTGCACACACTTTCCTGCAATTTTGGAAGCTGGGGGACAGGTACAGCTCCTGCAGCACTCAGTCCACCATGGCTTGAGGATGTCTCAGATTTATCCTCGAATTTCATGAACTGCCCCAACTGAGTTGCAGCTAAGTGTGCATAGCATATGTTTGGACAAAATCATGTTAAACCTATGCATCAAATTTACAACTGAATAATAATAAAATTAAATAACAAACAAGCATTTTCATCCCATGTAGACACATATAAGACTAGATATGAAGAACATGATTTACAACAGGGCAGTGATAGAAATACCATACTAGTATCTTGCCAGTGCAAAGTTCTCCTGCGTCCAATTTGGCGGATCCATCATAGCACAGATATCATATTTCTCAAAATCAGCAACCTACACACAATATCAAGACATTTACATCAGCTATAGACTATTAGAGGAATTAACAAGACACTGTTAGTTAAGTAGCACACAGATATCGCAGATCTGAAACGTGTTCTAGAGAATCAGAGAACAAAATAGAGTAACTGAAATCACAAAAGCGTAGAAGTTTGAACCTTGTTTTCAGACTTCGTTTTGAGTTTTCTGAACACGTCGTTCTTGTCGGTGAAGCCGTCGGAAGCCATTGAAATTGGACTCCGTATTCTCTAAAGAAGAAGTACTTGTGTCATGTTGTGTTGATTTATCAAGAGGATCTGAGTCACTACTCTTTTGAAGCATGGCATTCTTCAATGTTGCACTATAATATTCAGATTCTTCTTATTGCAAATTTGATGCCTCAGTTGAGATGCTGCTAAATATGATTAGCAGATAAACACAAGTCCACAACCAGAAAGAAAAAAGTTTCAAACACTAAATATCAAAATAAGTAACAATCTTCAGAAAATAAAATTAAATATTTAGCAGAATGATAAGGGTGTGACATCTCTTCTGTCTATTTTTTTTTTCTACAAAATGAATGAATAACAACCATAAGCTGACAACAAAAAGAAAACGAGACAGACTTCTATCTCACAGGGAAAATTTTGTCTCTCTACTTTTTCCCTCTATCGAGGATTGGACACATGAAAGCGTGTTTTAGTTCAATCATTATGGTAGTGTTCATCTAATTGACACATTCAAGGTTGAACCAACAATCTCTTAGAAGTTTCTTTCTTTAGGGGTCACAACCAATTAGCCGTGTCAAGAATCCACGCACCCTAGACCCTGTATTCAACCTATTCACAGAGCTGTAAGAAACGGTCCTTACTTATGAGACAGATAACAAGTCTGACAAAACCATGCTTATCTAGTAACTGAAGTATCTGTCAAAAGGGAATCAATTTTTAAGTAAATGATTATATGATTATCTTCATATCACTATCTATAAACAAGTTTCCTATATTAACTATGTATAATGAAGTCATTTTCAATGCCTGCTGGGATCCCAACCTGGCAAGCTAATTTGGCAAAAGAAAATTTAGACAACTTGTTTGGGTTTATAGAGGCACATGCTGTATGCCCTACTATATCACGACCTTTTCTACCATATAGGGATAAACAGACAAATACTCTACTATTCCCCACCGGTGAATTCGTTGGTGTGTTTTATAGCGAATAATTAAAGTATGTGCGCAGCATAGGATACCAGATAACACCACTCAATGGGCACTTGTTTGAACAAAAGAAGGGAGCTTTGTTACCGGCATATTCGAAAGAAGACAAGAAGCAAGGAAAAACGGGAAAAATGATGCTTTGTTCTATATTTATAAAATATTATAGAATTCGCTATACCGTACATTTGGCATTAACCCTAAAAGCGTAAAAACAGAAATCTGCAATAAAAAACGTTATGACTATATTGTCAAATATATAAGTTTTATCATGGGTGATAAACTAGAAGATGATAACTATATAGTTTCTTACCATACTACTTCTGATCCAATTAACTGGAAACCAAGGATTTCAGCTGTTCAGTTGTCTGCAGCTATTACTGCTTGTGCTAGAATTTATATGTATCAATTCATCTCAAGAAATGATTCTTACTACACTGATACTGACTCAGTTGTTCTCGATAAACCTCTTCCGAATGAAATGATTTCAACTACTGAATTAGGTAAATTTAAGTTATCTTCTTAGCTCCAAAGACTTATATACTTGATAATAAAAATAATAAAGCACAAGGGTGCTGCCAAAGCTAAAATCAATGATGAATGGTATATAAATCAGTATAATCAAACAAATAAAATTATTAATGTAAATGTGTTAAATAAGTTTAGAATTGATTGGAAAAAACTTCATACAAAAAAATTTAGATTATGCGCTAGGAATAAAAATAAATTTAAAGAGGACTCCTATATTTAATAATAATAAATGGGTAGGCAGTAAACCTATTAAGGTTAAAGATTTAGGTGATAAAAAGGTAATTAATAGAAAAATTTAATAAGATTAATACTTTACAATCTAATATTGATGATAATTTCAGTAAAGATGAATGTGTCAATATCGGTAATGATGAATGTGTCAATATCACTCAAGATGAATGTGTCAATAACAATGATCTGTTTGAAGAAAATATAATTAAAGAAAAAGCTAAGAGTCATAAAAAGAAGAAGAAGAAGAAGAAGAACACTCATAAAAAGAAGAAGAAGAAGAACACTCATACAATATCACTCAAGCACGCTCTGTTACTCCAACAAAGCCTCTGGAGTCTAAATAAACATAAATAATCAAACAGAGTATAAAAAAATAGTGAATATACCTTGGCTTTTTTGAGGAAATGTGGATGGTTTGTAAGGTATATGATAGTCCACATGATCCCAGTTGCTGTAGCTTCATGTCCAGCAGCAAACAGTCCTATTAACATATGAATCAAAACTCGGTAACAAAACACAAAACAACACAAGCCACACAACACTCCTAAAATCCTTGAGGCATGTGAATTTTCGTTTTTTCATTATTGTTGTGTATGGTTTGCTAGCTAACTCGGGGAACACACCGACACAGATTCTTAATTTTTTTTCTTAAAAAAAACAAACTAAACAAGAAATGAATCGGGTCTGAAAAGTATCGAAAAAGAAAATCTGTGAAAACACTCCTAAATCTACCTTAGTTCGTCAACAAACAACAATATTTGAATGGCTAAATCAACCTTCACCCTTCTTTTCATGAGCAAATGCAATGTCGTTGAAATCTCCCAGCCACCAGCCAGGACTCTCTCACAGTAAGGCTGATTTCACACAAGTCATTCCACATAATCCTTCTATTTTCTATATTAGGACTAGCATAAACAGTAGTAAACCACCAAGTTGCACCATGCTTAGGTTGGATCTTGAGGTGAATATACTGAAACTTTTTATGAATAACAGTTACATTAATGTCTTCCTCCATCCAAGCAATAGCAATGCCTCCTGCATAAATTGATTTTCATTAGAGCAAAAGCCATCAAAACCCAACTTGAGAAGAGATTTTTGGAGCTTGGACTGGTCACAACGAGTTTCCATGATGGCAATCAGCTTAGGCTTGTGAAAACTAGTGTACTGTTTACAATACCTAAAAAAACTTTTGTTGGCTCACCTCTGCAATTCCAAACAAGTAAATGTTGTTGTACAATCATCATAAAATTAGAAAAGGAATGGAAATAGTCCCCTAACATCTCACTGTTCAATCAGATCAGTGGCTTTCGCCTTGGAGATCAGCCAGAGAACAGCCTAATCTTCCTGAAAGCGTGATCTTCATCCCCTTGGAGATCAGCCAGAGAAACCTCAAACACTCTATGTTTGAGTCCATCTGAAGCAATCTGTGTCATTAAAAAACAATCATTTTATATTGAAGTATACAAAATTCTAATGGCACAACAATCAAACACATGAAAGACCAAACATCAGGACATCTTTAAGATTCAATAAAATCAAAACACAACATAAAAACCAATATTTGAGGATTAAACCTCCCTCCCAAACATACCCTAAAGAGATTTACCTCAGTTTTCTAGTCAAACATGCAACAAGGTATTCAATCAGCATACTACAAGTAACTATAAATTCATAACCATTTTTGGCCCTTCTCCTAATGATTTGAAATTTTAGATAAGTTGGTAATGCCATCAATAAACTGAAGATTCGGTTATATGCTACAAGTAACTAGTGGAAACAACTATTTTATTAACCTAGAAGAACATGCAGAAATAGAATGCAGAATTATATAATTTAAATAATCATATAATAAACATAATTACCCCTACATAACTCATCAGGACATTTTATCCACATCCAAACTACTAATCAGTAACATATGGTCAAAGGGTAGTCATTACCTTAAATTTCTTATTATGCATTCAGTAGCATTGGCCTCTTCTAATGCAGCAGCAGCAGCTGCAGAAGCAAGAGCTTTCCTTTGCATTGCATCCTAAAATCAGTTCAGGATAAAAGACTAATCATATAATTATATAATCATATAATAAACATAATTACCCCAAAATAACTCATCAGGACATTTTATCCACATCCAAACTACTAATCAGTAACATCTGGTCAAAGGGTAGTCATTACCTTAAATTTCTTATTATGCATTCAGTAGCATTGGCCTCTTCTAATGCAGCAGCAGCAGCTGCAGAAGCAAGAGCTTTTCCTTTGCATTGCATCCTAAAATCAGTTCAGGATAAAAGACTAATCATATAATTATATAATCATATAATAAACATAATTACCCCAAAATAACTCATCAGGACATTTTATCCACATCCAAACTACTAATCAGTAACATCCCGCAAACCACAACATCAACAACCGTCCGGCCAAAGACTCTGAACATAAGGCCAATCAGTACTGAGATAATATTCTGAAACCCCTACATAAGTCATCAGTACATTTTATCCGCATCCAAGCTACCGATCGGTTTACACTAAAGTGTAATCCTCCTTACTAACTCCACACAACAGTCCCTAATTTTGATCACAAATTATAAAAGATGCATCCCCGTCACTCCCCGATAACTTGGCAACATGTTAGTTACAAGAGAAATCAGGTAAGAGAGGCTTACATCTCTTTGGTGCCAAAGAATTGAACAAAATATTTCTTTGGATCAGGGGCTTTCTCCCATTCCTCAGGCCTACTTATCTGAAAACAAAGTA